AGAGGGATTTTATGCCTCCTTCTGCTCCTGACCCTTGTATTGCAGGAATAGGCCCATCCCTGAAGGGAAGGAACTCAGACCTCCACTCCTGGGGTGGTTCTGCCTAATTTAAACCAGGCTGTTCTTGTTTAGAAATTGCGTTTCTGCGTTGCAAACTCATTCGTGTTTTGTTTTTTTTTCTTCCTGTTTCTGACCGAAGGAATTGTGGAAATGTGTTTTGCTCCAGCTGCTGTAACCAGAAGGCGCCGGTCCCCAGCCAACAGCTCTTCGAACCCAGCCGGGTCTGCAAAACCTGCTACAGCAGCTTGCACCCCAGTAGCTCCAGCCTTGACCTCGAACTGGACAAACCCATTGCTGCCACCTCAAACTGAGGCTCCAGCCTGGAAGGAAAGCTGGGAGGAGACAAAGCTGCCTTTGTCCCTCGAAGGAGACACACCGATTGCCGGTGGACTGAAGCTGGTAGGATTGGAGGAGCTATGCACTTTGAGCTGGAAGTACAGGTTACTGCTCAGAGAGAGAGAGAGGATGATGGGTAGATAGATCCTGGCGGAGCAGGAGCAGTCCTTCCCCACTGTTACTTCCCATTCCCTTTCCATCCTTCTGATGTAAATTTAGTGTGGATTTTGCAGGAAGACGGTGCAAGGGGTCTAGTGGGGGAGTCTCCCTGCGCTGCAGGCAGGCTATTCTCCCTTTGCGAGAGGAGAGGAAGGTGAATTGCCAGAGAGATTGTGAATACCTGTAGCATTAGGGCTAGTGCTTTCAGTCACTCCTGTGGCTTCCCAGCAGCCCCATGCTGCTTGGAGAGTTGTTGCTGCTAGAAGAAACGGAAACGGCCTTCTCAAAAGAGCTGGCTGGATTATGCCTGTTGCCCAAATGCAAGGGGTGGATTGCAGATCTCCACGCTGGGCACTCCTCTGTGGCCGAGGGCGGAGAGGCCTTGGCTAAGAAGAGATGCCTACTTGCTTTGAGGGGAAGCGAAAGGAGAAAGGGTGCCTTTAAACCGGCACCCCCCGATGTAAAATTCTGTACATCCATTTTTATTTTTATTTTGTAAAGGAATCGGTGCCTAGGCTTTGACGGTAGCTTTTGAAATGCTTCTCCTTGCCCCCATTTTAAACCTAGTTTACACAGAAAGTAGAGCTGCTTCACTGCACTCGGTAGGCTTTGTGCAAAGTCAGGTGGCCTGATGGCATCGAGGTGTCCTTTTCACAAAACAACCCCATGAAGCAAGAGTGGGATGGTTTTACTTTGCTCTAGAGCTGGTTAGAAAAGGTGGGTTTGCTGGAAGCCCCCAAAATGAGGCGTTACGAAAAGAGATGTCTTGGCCACAACAATCTGAAACTGTTTTCCTCCTGCTCAGTTTGTTAATGTCACCCCATCAACATTTGATAGAGTCCTCCTATTTTTCTAAATTTTGTATTTTCCCTCCTCCACTCTCTTTAAAATACGCTCAGTTTATGGTTTTGGAGTGGGACGAAGAATTATAATAGAGAGTTTATAATCTGTGATAAGATGCTTGAATCCATCCAGAATCAATTCTTTTCTTATTGCTTTCACCTATTTTGTCTTGGAGAGCTTAGATTGGTACATGCGATTCCTGTCTTTCTGTGTCACCACACATCAAACATCTTCCATATATTTCCTCTGCAACATTGGCCTTGATTACTACCAGCTGGGAGGTTCCTACACCCAGAACTGCCATAAGCTCACAATCCTGGCATGAAGCTCTGCAAGAGCCATAAAGAGCAAGCTACACAACAACGGGCGTAAAAAGAGCAAGAAACACAACCCCTAGGCTATTCTAAGCGTTTGTGCTGTAATAACTAGACTGGCCTTCCAAAGGGAAACTGGTTTTGTGAGCCTGTTGCCAAGGAGGAAATATAAAAGTGAGGCTTGCCAAACGGTTTTTGTTTTCATACTGATTCCAAGAAGGAAAATGTTTGTCAATCTGTTTCGTACTTGATGTTTCAATTTTCCCAGGTTGCTTGTAAAGGATGCAGGTCTTGCATAGAACAAAACAATGCAGGGAAGACATTTAAAAATAAGGATCCAAATTCCAGGAGCGGGTAGCCAGGGACGCCCTCTCCTTAATGCAAGCAGAGTGTAATTTCTTTGCACTCCTTGTCTGCTTCCAACTGGGAGGACCTGTACAAAATTTCAGTGTCGTTTTCTCTCTCTCCCCCCCCCCCCCCCCAAAGGAATGAAACACTCTGGGAAAATCAGTAGAGGTATACAGTTCCAGGTTGGGAACGTGGAAACAGGTTGTTGAGGTGACATACAGAAAGCTGGCTAATCTATGCTTTTCCAATGCAACTGGTGTGCAGCGAGACAGTTTATAAACAGACAGACAAAAAAGAATAATAAAGGGGAATGGTATTGTATGATGCACTTGATCCAGTGTGATTTTATGGTACAAACAGATGGCGAAAAGGAGGTCTAACATTCAGCAGTTCATAAGAGGTGCCAAGGGGTTCCAATACGGGTTTTGGGGGTCTGTGATGTACAGTGTGAATAAACGCTTGCAGCTCTTAGTCTTTTGAATCAATGGAGCACTTTTTTTATTCATAGTTTCTCCCATTGGATGTGAAACAGGGAACCCAGCGCTCTGTTTGTGTGTGTGTGTGTGTGTGTGTGTGTGAGAGAGAGAGAGAGAGAGAGAGAATGTACTACATAAATCTTCTAAAGAGGAACAAAACTACTTTTATATTTTTCACTTTTTGTCAAATGTAGACTTAATACTTTAGAATGATTAAATATAGAAATAAAAATGAAATAAACTTTAGAGATTGCACAGAGGGACAATTGTTGAGCTACTTCCTAATTTTTACCTGCCCCAATCTTTGAACTGTTATTTCCTCCTGCTGAAATAGGTCAATCTGGAGATCTCTTCCCTTCATTTCAAGGCCATCATATTTAAAAGCTAACCAGGCAATTTTATTTTCCTAGATAGCTGTAAGGAATCCTCTTCATATTGCTTGAAGCCTAAACCAGATTCAGTTTTCTGAGAATGTTGAAAGTGGTTTGAAAAGGCACTTTGACAAAGTTAAAAGCACTACAATCCTCAGTTGTGAACAGACAATGGCACACCTGGTATAACGACACCACATCATCATGTTTCTATATTCCCAGTTAATTGTGCTAACCACACCTTCCATAGTTGGGGTTTGTTGAGCGACACAATTCATATTAATAAACCAATAAGATGTGCATGCCGCAACTCTGTAGTCCCGTGGAATTCCACAAAGAGGAATACAATCACCATTTTTCCCAGTTTCTCTGGTTTTCCAATTACCAGGAACCCTACCTGGTTGAAAAGACAGTAAGTCACTGAAGGTTTTATGGAAATTTCTTCCAGGCTACTGAGCCAGGCAATCGGATGAGTTCTCTTGGGGATGTGGGTTTTGTTTTGAAGGGTGGGGGTGTATTGCTTAACTGGGACATCATGGGTTTTTCTTGTTATGATGGTTTTAAACTTTGTGTCACTGTGGTAAGAACAAACAAGCCAACAAGCCAGCTATCTCCCGGATGAGTAAATGGCAATCAAAGGCTTCCATCTGAGAAAGAGACTGAGCATTCACAGGGAAACTTGTGCTTCATGCTGGTACATCATTTGTAACCCAATTTATAATTTAGCCTGAGCTCTTTTGTGTTGGTTGCTTTTGGCTGTTTTTGGGGAGCAATATCCTTTTGGAAAAATTGTTCTTGTTGCTTTCTTCTTTTCTTTATCAAAACAACAATGGAAAAGCGAAGCTGTTCTGCACCCTGTCCTCAACACTAGCCAGTCAGGTTTTTGGGGCACTTCCCATTCTTGTTCTCATACCTTATGTCAGTAACTCAGTCATTACGGCAGGGATCCATTGATATTTTGGATGTATCTCATCCCTTCATAACATCTAAACTCTTCTAGCCCTCGCTAAACAGAGGCATCCATTTCCCCTCAGATTACTAAAAATATAAAAGCAATCTCCCGGCACGCAGAACTTTGATCCTCCACTATCCATATCTGCAAGTAATTGCAGCAATTTGGAATTTGCTTCATCAGCAACAGCTGGCCATGGGAAATATGGAATTTAAATTTATGGAAGTTTTCATGGTTGACGTCTAGATAAAAGGAATGCAGGAACTCAACTCTGAAAAGGAAATCACAGTGGATCTTCATGGGGGGAAATGTGGAATACAGTAAGGCAGAAGAGTCAGAATAAAGTTTATTTTTATGGAAATTATACCCAAGAAAATGTCATTTGCATCAAGCTAAGCATCAGTAAGCGCAATGATTATTTTAAAAGAGCAAAGGCACTATTATCTGGTATCCAGTTGTTGCCATTTGGTTACTGTAGTTCACATTCTTGTACCAATTAAAATAGTTAAAAAAAATTTTTTTGAGCTGCTTTAAATGCTTCATTACAATGTGCTCTGTTGTATCTTTAGCTATAATGCTAAATAGAAGAGAGGAGTTTCAAAGGCTGCCAGCAATTAGTTTACTACGGTAATTATGACAACTAACTGCCAAATTTATTACTTGGAAGAAAAAAACCAGGGAAGGGATCATGAACATATTTGGGCTGAGCCTGGATTAATGGCTTGACAGTACAGAGCAGGGGAGGGAGGGGGACTGCTTTAACGAACAGGAAGATGAGGCATTATCAAAGCAAAAGCCAGATAAAAAGGTCTTCGAGAAGGGGGTCCAAAAGGTAATGTGAGAAAATGTCTCAATCTAGTCCCTTCCTGATTCACTCCAAGAGGGGAGAGAGAAGCTTATTCAGGTTTGCAAGATTCTGTTACTATAGATTTACAGTAATAGTACTTACTACCTTTCCAGTTCCAGTCTCTTTCAGATGTGTTATCCTTCTACTACCTGGTGGATAACCTGTTCTATGAGACATGAGAATTGAAGTCCAGCACATCCAGAGAGCAAGAAATGGGAAAGATTGCTTACAATTATATATTTAAAGTAGAATGATGACACTGTTTCTACCTTCAAGAATTATTTCAAAACTCAATTTGTGAGTTCAGAAGCCAACTGACCATTTAATGTACAGTAGAGGTCCTTAATGTTAATGTTGGAACATTGTCTACATGGGTCCTTTCATGGGACTTGTTTTGGAAAGAAAATTTGAGACTCACGTACAATCATAATACAGACACACTTCTCATCCAGGTCATGTCCTTCACCAGATGGCTTCTTTCGCATTCGTGATGCTTTCCTACAGTTTTCCTCTCAGAGAAGAATACCCATCATAAACCAAAGATTTATCCAGGGAAGCTGCTTTAGAATTGTAAGAACCAGCCTTCTCTTCTCTGTCCACAAGGCAGACATCCTCCTGACACCACCTGCAAAAAGAAGAGAAAAGAAAGCCGCCTACCTTCAAATTAAGACGGGATTTCCCAGTTTCAGACCCAGTCTATCTCAACGTTGCTTCCTATTGCTATGATTGAAAGGTGATGGCAGCTCTTGGCTACCAAGGCAGGTCTGTGACAATCAACATTCAATTGGAGTACATAGCAAAAAGCTTTGATGGCCTCTTGCCTTTGGGACTTAGATCAGAAAACTGTGTAAACAAAGTTGAGCATTTTAAGCAACTCTATAAATAAATTATTGTGTACTCCAACACCCCCCCTCCCCCAACCTTTTGCGTATCAGGGATTGGTTCCATGGAGAGGTTTTTCTATGGACCAGAAGGGGCATGGTTTCGCATGCTGCCTGCATCCCGTAAGTGGGGCTTCATTTGTTTGCATGGCCCAGTTTCTGGCATGCTGTGAACTGGTGCCAGTCCACGGACCCCCTGGTGCACCCCCTTGTTAAGACAGAGGTGAGTGATTTCTCCAGAATCCAGGAATGGAACTTGTTCACACAACCAATTAGAAGACTGCCTGTATCTTAAGGGTGGACAGGCCTTTTGGAAACCAGGGGGCTGCCTGAGTGTGTTTGGGTGATGGTGGGTGGGTGAGGTAGATCACTCCCAGGGTGAAAACAGCTGCTGTCATCCTTCACTTTGACTCCTATTTCCATCCTTAATGTTTAAAAGGAGGGAAGACAAGGGGGAATCCAGTTTGTGCCACTGAAAAATCACACCTAAGTTCAGGGGTGCTGTGGGGAACTCATCGCCTCTGCAGGCACTAAGGCTATCAGCTGCTCTTTGTTGAGTCTCTATTCATTTTTCCTCTGATCTCCAATCAGTTCTCTGGTCTCATGATAGGTGCTTATCCTATTCAGGTTGCCCTTTCTCAAATTTCAGAGGAGTTGCTCCAGCCATATGGCAGAACTTTCCCTAGTTAATGAATGCAATCCTTTGGGTTTCTCAGTCTTTGCTTTGCTATTAGATTTAATGGATACCTCTGAGCAGCGTAGATGTTTGTGGCTGATGCGCCAGCCCTGGCGGCATGCTCCAGTAGAAGGACTCCTGTGGGAATTAAAGACATAGTCTATGGACATTTCCGATTCATCTTCCTAATGAGATCTGCCCTGTAACCCGAATCGGCTCTACATGACCACATGGGGAATTCTCCACTGTAGGGAATAATTTGCAAGCTCCTTTTAAAATCCCCATTAGCGGCATTTCAGGAACCACTTTCCCCTAAAGAAAGGTCTTCCTGCTTCTTCTTTTGCCACTGCGAAGCTTGGATTTGGGAGAACAGTTCACAGCATGAGCTATGGAACTAGGAAAGAATCCTGAGCCTGTTAAAGAATCAGAAGCATGCCTAGGAAGGGGAAATATCAGGATGCCTAGGAAGGTGATGCAACAGCTAAAGGCGACAAATGAAAGGAAGGCAGTCTAGGCATGGCTGAGCTCCTGACTTAAAACTCCTGGGGTTGCACAAAAACAGGGCATCCCATTTATAGAACAGAAGACTAATTTTGTTGATGTTAAATTTAAACCCATCTGTGGGTTTTCCTGCCCCCTTGATCAATTCAGTCTTGCACTGTTATCTTTGGTGTTTTTAGATTTCTAACATTAGCATACACCATTCCCACCTTCAGTGCTGCACATATCACCGGCTAGTTTTGCTGATGCTCTAATTAGTCTGCTTGGCAACAGTTGTGGAGCTTAAGACTTCCGATTTCTGTCTGCTCCATCACTGCAATGAGCCTCTTTCTACCTTCCTCTTTTTGGTGTGTGTGTGTGTACATAATCTTTTTTAAGCATTCATTCAAACTCTGAATGCTGGTTTGTTTTAGAGGATTATCATTCAAAGTCTTTCTGAGCAACATTCAACAATCTGAGATGAAGCAAAAGATTTTGAAGCAATTCTTTCCCTACCTTCATAGATCCATGCCAGAGTATAGGCAAAGTCTCTCGCTGCCAGCTGCCAGCCAGCTTCTCCCTTTGAGTTCATTCTTCGAACAAACTGCTTGAGTTTTTGCAGATTATTCTGAATTATTTGCACAGAAACCTGCAGTTCGGACTGCTGGGTAGCTGCCTCCAACTTGGCCTGCAAGAAACCCCCCAAGTCACAGAACAAACCGACATAATAACTCACAGTACCTCCGGCAAGCAAAAGAGGTTAGCTGCTACTTCTTTGAAGATAGGATACTCTATTCCCACCAAGAGTGTTGCAAAAAAAATAAGGATAGGTTTAGTGACACCTCCAAATGAACTGGTGACCTAAGCACCTGTGGAGAAGAGTGTCACAGCTTTGCTCAGGCTAAGGACTGGGCTGGTCTTTTGAGGGTTACGTACCCAAAATTGTGGGTGGGACTACCAGAACCAATCTTAAATTGTGTGCATTTAGCTAAAATTTACTTAATACAATGCCTCCACAATCATATGTCAACATTTTTCTTCTGATACCTTAAATGTTGTTATGGAATTGTCATTTTTAGAGATCTCTAGGTTTGCCTATGCTTTAGATTTAAGATCCCTGGATTAGTTTCTACTTTGGCAAATGGTTACATTTTTCACCCTGAATGTGGGCAAAATAAGTAGTGCGGTAAATTTGGACTGTGCTACTTAAAAGATTATTTTCTGTTAACAAGATGAATAAACCGCAAATTACAATGAAGTGTAGGGGCAATAGCAGCACATCAACATCAATAAAGACCGTCTCTTTTTTACATGAGGCCGAGTGAGCATGTTGCTCCTACCAGGCACAACTCAAATTTTAACATTTATAGGTGGTGTGACAAACTCAGGTATTGGTGCCAACCTGGGCAGTGCAGAAAAAGACATCCAGCACTTTTCCTTGGCTCTTGAGAATGCAGCGCAGAACATCCAGGGACAGGATGTTGGTGGTTCCCTCCCAGATTGAATGTATCTGGTGATGAAAAAGAGGCAGAGCTCAAAGGCAGAACAACAGTTGTCAGTCATGACTTTACAAATGTACCCTTAAACACTTTCCTTTGTAAATGGGTTTGTTTCCAGATATTTGGAACTTCTCCAAGCATTACATTCTGTAATTTAAGGAAATAAAATGTCCTTTAAACTGAACATTTGTCTTTGAAAAGACAAATGTTCAGTTTAAAGGACATTTTATTTCCTTAAATAAGAACTTTCTGAGTATTCAGAGGCATGAAATATTCCCCCCCTTTTCTTCATGATCTCAGAACTCTGTGATAACAAAATTTATGTCAGGATGAAAAAGTGAAACAAAGGAACTAAGGTGTAAATTTCTCCCTGAAATAGCAGCAGACTGCAAGAAAGAAGAAAGTAAAACATGCAAAAAAAAAGTCCAGTGCTTCTTTACCTGGGCATCCCGAAGAATAACAGGCAGGCCTGTGTCTTCCATGACACCCTGTCCTCCGAAACACTCCAAGCCTTCCGAGGTCACAGCGATAGCCTGAAACACAAATTGACTTGTTTACACATCCGACAAATATGCCAGGCTCCAGATACTTAAATGATTGAATGTTTTGGCTTTTGTATTTTATCTTTTGCTAAGCCACATTTACTTGAGGATTTGGTGACTTGTTTGCTTATGGTCTTCAGGAAACCAAATAACCAGGAACCAGAGTAGCTCCTCTTCTGGCGAATCCATTTCATTCAAAGGCTTCTGCCTTCATGAGTTTGTGACAAAAACTGATGCCTTTGAATAAATGTTAGGGAAAGAAGGGCTGATCTGATCCTGTAAACCAGGGTTTTCAAACTCACGTCGTCACAGTGGTGTAACGTGACGTATTGGGACTTTCTCCTCCTTTGCTAAAGTTTGACAGCCCTGCCGTAGACTCAATGGCCAAACAGCCCGGTCAAGAATATAACAGCCTGCGCAGATGTTTCCTCCCCTCATCCCCTATTAATATCTGCCCTGTATAGGTGCCCTTTTGCCAGTTGTGGACACCACTTAGCCCATGACATCAAACTGAGCGTGACCTGCTTTGCCGTATAAAGTTTAGCGAGAGGGGTGAGCAGCCTCAGCATGTGCTTCTCCTGCTCCGTCGCCTTCTTCGTTTCTTCCAGGCCAAGCAGTCTCGCCAGCTCCATCGCCAGGAGGAACGCTGCTTGGCTTTGCACCTGCAGAAGTGGGAAGGGAGTTCGTCTGAGCAAAACCAGCATTTTTTGAGACTGGCAACTTCCTCCCTTCCTCCTCTTGCTTCCTCCCTCTGCAACTACCCGGAGCAATAATCACATGGCAAACTACAAACCACGATTTGCGGGTGGCAATGGCAGTTTCCCTGTGTGTGGCAAGTTCCTGGACAAATCCCTGCAGTTCTCTTGGAAAGGTCTTCGGAAGTGATTTGCCCTTGAGTGCTGCTGCTTCCTAGTGCCCAAGGTCATCCCGCTGGCTTTTCGACTTCAGGCTGGACTAGAACTCCCCATTTCCCCTACAGCAAACTGCCTCTCCTTCCCTAGTAGGTTAAACTTTCTGAATCTTACATGCTTCATTCTGTTGTTAAAGTTCTCCAGTTGTATGCTACTTTCCCTACGCTGGCATTTGATTCCAAACGATAGTAGGAGAACGTGCTGGAATCTTCCCCAAGTGCCCCTGGCCCAAGAGGCCATGTGCTCACCTCCATTCGTGCCAGAGTTTGCATATGCAAAGGGTGATCCTTGAGGGGTTTTCCAAAGGCTTCCCTTTTGGTGGCGTAATCCCGTGCCAGGTCAACAATTCTAAGGATGGGAGCAAAGCCAGGCACAAGCATTAACTTTCTGCTATTTCCCAGAATTTAATTTCATTCTTTAATTAAAGCAAAAAGTCAGGGAATCAGTATGTAATATTATATACTCAAGGGATATAACATTAATATAATCAAAATGCCAGAAACTTCTTCCTCTA